GCTACAATTCAATTTAGATTTAATAAAATAATACATGAAAGGAGGGTCAAATAATTCTCAAAATAATCGACTATTTCTAAATAATAATAAAAAATAAAATCACAGAGTTCAATAAATAATGCAAGTTTATCAGCAATATGCGATATAATACTGGCCATGATCAAAAATAACAAATATTGAACTCTGCTAGATTACATGTAAACGTGGGAGAAATTGTGTTGAAGGAAAAAGTTATCGAGGAGATAAATTCTCAAAGTACTCGATTTTTAATAATTGTGAAGAGAAATACCGTATTTCCTCAAATTAAGTCCCCGGTTTATATTTAACAATCAACCTCGAAATTTAATTCACTTTTTATTCAAAAGAGGGGAAATTACTTTTAATTCATAAAAGCAAATTAAAAATATTTCATATAATAAAATCCTTTACGTTTCCTGCCTCGGAGTGTGCCAATTTTGATTTTTTAAATCCGAATTTAGAATGATTCCTAAAATGGCGTTACATTAAAGAAGGCATTCAATAAGAGGAAATACGTTATATGTAGATATCAGAGGTGGGTCGGAATTCCGATTTCCGACTTCCGATTTCCTACGTTTTTTCCTTCCGATTTCCGATTTCCGAAATTTTGGAAATATTTCCGATTTCTGACAATTTTTGAAGCAAATTTCCGACTAAGGATTTTTCCAAAATTCTCAAAATTTTCGCCTGCGGCGCAAAAAATGGAAGATGTTTGGCTTAAGGATCTTCCAAAATCCCAAAAATTTTGCCTGCGGCGCTGTAAATGGAAGTTGAATGGTATATCGGAGGATTAGGATGGATTAAGGTGGACTTTGAGTTATATCGTGTGATTTCAAGGGGTCATAGGTAATAACGAGGGATCTGGTCTTCGCATTGTGAGGCTCTTAAAAACTTCTGCATTTCGAGCAGGGGTGGTATATCCCTATTATTTCTATAAACTGATATTTCGTCTAATCAACCAATTTGACTTTTGAGTTGCAAAAAGAACTTTTACACCCTCAAATTACACTCAAGAAGGCCCATAATTTGCCACCTTACAATTTTAAATATGATTTCAGTTATGAAAATAAAAATTTTATTTCCGATTTCCGCCTTCCGATTTCCGGCTTTTTTTCCTTCCGATTTCCGAAAAAAATTTTGATTTCCGATTTCAGACTTTTGAGCCATTTCCGATTTCCGACAGTTCCGATTTCCGACACCTCTGACTGTTCCGACCCACCTCTGGTAGATATACAAATTAGTAGGGAGAGATAAGGTAAATATTCTTTCAACATTTCATCTACTATTTCATTTCTCACAAATTCTCATTTCCTTACTGTTGTCGTTTAGTCATTTCATTCCATTTCTCCCAATAATTCGGATCATTATCTTCAGGCGTCTGAAACAAAGTACTTGGCTTGGAGTATGATTGGAATTCATGTGGATATTCATTAAACTCATCAAAATCATTTCTTCCTCTTCTTCTGCTTCAACTTCAGAATTTTTATTTTTTTTATTTTTTGATTTAGCAGAATAAATTAATTCCGTATCCTTAATAGTTTCTTTTGTCACATATATTTCATCTTTATTTTCTTCTATTTTTTTCATAAGCTTATCAAAATCCTCATTTTTTGCCTTCTTCCTTTAAAAAATATTGTTAGGTAAATTTTATTAAATTTTTATATTAAACCACCATATTTTCTCTAAAATAACCTCCAGGGCTATTTTTTAGATCGACTTCAAGAGGGTGACTATTTCAGTGAAGATACGGAATCCAGTTTTTAAATTGACTTTTAAATTGGGTTGCCCAATTAAATACATAAATGAAAATAAATAAAAAATAAGATTTAATCCTTCTAAGAGAACTTTATTTTTAAGACAAAATTCTAAAAATAATTTATTCTATCTTCATTATTAAATCATGTAAAGTGTGTAGGGCTGTAGTATATTGTACCGGAGGCAAAATTTCGATATTAAACACATAACATTCGATTCGTCTAGGCGAGCTGAATCGAACGTTACCACTCTCTATTCACGGAAACGGCTGTGAACCGAGATATAGGTCCCTGAAAATCGAAAAACCACACAATTTTGGGGTGAAAAATTCAATTTTTAGAATGTTATGATCTTTTATTTTAGCTCCATACCTATGCACTTGGAGTGTTTGCTGCTGCGGAAAAAGCTAAGCATGCCCCCATCATCGATGATAGGAATAGGATTAAGTTACGAGCCCAGAACCCAGCGACCGTAGACTCCCAGCGGGGCGCGTGCGCGGAGTTTTGCTCAAGCGCCTCGTCGACGCTCCATAGGTTTTCGCTGACCATTTGAGCCTCTTTATCTCGGCTCAGAATCAAGCTATGGTTTTTCGATTTTCAGGGACCTATATCTCGGTTCACAGGCGTTTCCGCGATAGTGAGTGATACCGTTCGACTCATATCGCCAAGACGAATCGAATGGTATGTTTCATATTGAAATTTTGCCTCCGGGATACTATACTATATCCGTCTGTAGATATATTCTGTATATATCTTACAGGTGTATTACTCCCAAAATTAATTGTGAAAATGACGTTTTTTGATTTTCAAACTAGAATTATGGTAATGTTTTTCACGAAGAATATGTTTACGATGATCTTTTCCTCGTGCCACTGTAGATACGAATTCCATGTGCAGCCAGTATAAACTGAACAAAATATTTATGAATTTTTAAAACAGCATTCAGGTTATCCATAGACACTTCCCCGTATTTATATAATGCAATTATTCCACGAATATATTCTTTCTGAAATAAATTTAATTTATTTTTTATTAGAAGAACTTCCCGATAAACAGGGTTGCCAGATGTATTTATTTTGGAAGTACAGTACTTACAAATCGCCTTCGTACTTACGAAATTGAAAATGTACTTATTTGTAAGTACGTACTTACAAATAGACTTTTTGGTTAAAAAATTAAATTTAACCTTAAAATTTCCAAAATGTTCGCCTGCGGCGCAAAAAATGGAAGAAATCGGCGCAAAAAGAATTACACCCGACATTTATTTCTATTTGTCTAATCCTTATTTATCTCATATTCCTCATCTTTGAAGCGATTAAACCAATTTATTTTTGAATTTTTTGCCTGATCACATGCTTCATTGAATTTCGGATAATTATCCTGATAAAATTTAATCAAAGCTTCCTGTGTATTTTTATTTGGATAAATTTCTTTTTTGATCGAACCAGTACAGTCATTTTTCACTTTTAGCTGTTGTAATCTATTTTTAAGTTTGTTGCTATATTTTTGATTATATTGCTTTGTAGATGACGACCCTTCTCCTTCGTGTCTACAGTACTGCACAAAAGTATAAGAACACCTCTCTGTACCTCTCTCTAAAATTTTTTCTTAAAAATAAGATTGTTGCTATCTTGTAGCAAATTTCAAGGGCTTTCGAATGAGCCCAAAATCAAAATTGAAAATAATTAGTAAGGGGTCGGAAAATTTTTTAAAAGAGCCTTACCCCCGTTTTACGTTGATTTTCGGGGTCTCGGGATCTCGGCTCCGGGTAAAGATATGAGTCTAGTTCTTTTTTATTTTTTCATAATATTATTATGTATGCTTGCTAGAATTTTTGCAAATTTTTCCTAATCTTGCAAGTATCTTTTTTGTAAAGTGTTCTTATACTTTTGTGCAGTAAAAAAACGCGAAATTTTAATAATATTAAGTTTTGGAGAGATGTTTTAAAAAATTTAAAATTTTAATTATTTAATCGTGTTTCTCTTTATAATCCACATGTTTACACAAAATTTCCTAAAATTTGGTCAAGTATGTCCCAAGTTATAAGCTTTTTGAAAGTGTTCTTATACTTTTGTGCAGTACTGTAGAACCAGACAATTTTGCTTTATGTCCAGAACCCCCCATGGAAATAAAGCTCCATAATAATGAATTAATAAATAAAATAATGAAAATAAAAATTATTTTCATCTCAAATTTTTTTCTATCTGCTGATATAAATTATTTATTCTTATAGAATGACAGTTAATCTGTTTTTCATAACTACCCCTGAAATTTTTCATTCAATTATAAGTGTCATTCTATTAGAATTAATACGGTATACTTTTAAAACCAGTAAACGAGGAAAGCACGTACCCAGTCACATCCCGAACATTCAATAAGGCAGGAATGATGACCGGATTTTTTTATTTATTTTTTAGATTTTATTTATCTAAAAACTTTTCGATAAATTTTTAAAAAAATAGCAAGAGTTTCATTATTCTGCTGATTAGTAACGTTGCTTTATTAGGTATGCCCTAAATCTTGAAAGGCAAAATTATATAATTTGATTTTTTATTGTGTAACTTTCTTCAACCCCGAAGGTCGGTGAATTTTGGAATGTGGTAGAAAGGACGATTTTAGCTAAATTATTTTTTATGTTTCTAACTTTTAATTTTTTTAATTAAAAATTTTTTAAATTAATATTTGAGCCTTTAAAATATATTAAATGGAGAGACAAAAAGGAAAAAATTTAGTGGAATTTATTTCACGTGTTAGACTTTCAAATTGGCTCTATCTTAGGACATACGTCCCATGAAAGTATGTATATGCGTCCCATGAATGTATAAGCGTCCCATGAATGTATAAGCGTCCCATAAAGGTATATGCGTCCCATGAAATTATATGCGTCCCAAAATTAATATAAGCGTCCCTTCAAAGTATTAGATTTCTATAGTATTAAATTTCTATTTAGGCTAACCAAAATGGGCCGACTCGGACCGAAAGATCGAGTCGGGCCTAATGTATTTGGCATGAAAAGGACACGTACGGCCCGACTCGATGAAAATGAGGCTTATCCAAAATATTTTTAGAAACAAAATAATCACTATTAATTGGTTTATTTGAAATATTCTGCATTAAAATTAACTTATTTAACATTTTCTGCTAAAAATGAAAATTTTCCGTTAAAAATTTTCAGTTTACGGCCATATTTCGGTCCATATTTCGAGATTTTTAGTCCATATTATATGTCCATATTTTTCGATTGATAGTCCATATAAATCCCACCCCTACTTATTAATTATTTACTTCATATTCCTCATTTTCGAAGCGATCAAAAAATTGTTTTATATTTTTATTTTTTGCCTGTTCGCTAGCATATCTGAATGTCTCATGATTCTCCAAATAATAGTCAATCAACTCCTTCTGTGTTTTTCTATTTGGATTAATTTCTCTCTTTTCATGACCAGTACATCCATTTTTCTCTTTTAGCAGATCTAATTTTTTGTTAATTTTATTGCCATATTTTTGATGATATTGCTTTGTATGTGACGACCCTTCTCCTTTATGTCGAGAAGAACCCCCCATGGAAATAAAACTCCAAAACAATGCATTAATGAACAAAATAATGAAAATAAAATTAATTTTCATCTTAAATTTTTGTCTTGTTTTTAGATAAAAATTTTTGGAGTATGCCGATCTGAATGTTTTCTTGCCGGAGAAGAAAACTCGAGAAGTTTACAAGCTTTAGAAAGCGGAAAACCTTTATTCTGATCTATTCGGAAATAAATACAGTAAAGCAGCTGGGATATACATAGCTATTTCTCTCCTTTAGCTAGGCAAAAGGTTATTTAGGAGGCTGGGAGCGAACCAGCATCTTCAATAGACCGGACTGATGTGTTAGCCATTACACCACGCCGTCTACTGCATAGCCTTAGGAATTAAATAGCTATATGCTTTACAATACTAAAATTCTGTTCCTAGCAACTTTTCAAGTGTATTTTTTATTTTAGAAATTAAAATTTTTAATTTTTTGTTTTTAATTTATGAATTGACGTTAAGTCCTATTAGGGAATTAGAGAAAATTTTAGAGAGAGCTGTTTCTCGTAGATCCATGACAATCAATCATTTCGATTTCCTACACGTCGACATATAAAATTTACTAATAGGGGTAGAGATAAATTTTTAGAAATAGTGGAGGTAGACAAAAAAGATAAATCGAGTTGGATTTATTCTTAGTGTTAATAAACGTGTTTCATTATGTTTTGTTTCGTATGTTTCACCATGTTTGCCTACGTACAATTGGGCCGATATATTTGGACGCAAGCTGTTAATTTTTCCAAAACAATATTTTTTTGTTGTTTTATGTTTTGACGTTTTACTCTTATTTTTGTCCTGAATACAAAGGACTAAGGATGACCTGCCATATATGACTAAGGGTGACATCAGTAGATTTGGCGATTAAACAGGATATGAGAGTATGACTACATAGGATTGCTCTCTCTTACGAGAAGCTTAACGTCAAGTAACGTTCTGTTCAGGCTTGCAAGTCTCTTGAAATAATACCAAATAAATCTTCTAATACTTCAAGTTAGAATATTTTTTTAATTTCACGTAAAAATTATGGGTGGGATTTTAATAGAGGCATGCTTATATTATGTTGAATATTTACATTAAATATTAATTTAATCAACATTTTTTGTGACGAATATATGTATATTTAAATGTGTTGTTACTTTTTTTAGAAAAAAATTCCGTCGACAGATAATATTATCCTATTTACAAACGAACGGATATATAAGCAATTTCCTAAATTAATTTCAGTTTTTGGTCTCGTTTTATTTAAAAAGTACACTAAAAAAGTGTTTATTTGAGACAAAATATGTTTTTAATAATCTCTGTTTTTTTGTATTTATTATTTTTAAATTATTATAGAACAATAAAATATTATTTTTGTGAAATTATATTTAATTTAAAATTTTGTTGATTGATAAAATTATTTTTTAATTATTTTCAAAATTAATTGGCTCCTGAATTTTGTTAATTTATAGGGCTAATTTTGTTTCAAACTGTGGCTAGCGGGGGTAATTAATAGGAAGGTGTTGGGTAATTATTTGAGAGAGGGTAAATCTTAAATATTTTGTTTTGAAAAAAATAATTGTCATTTATTGTGTTGCAAATAATAATTCAAAATAGATAATCGTTCTGTATTTTTTAGCAAGGCTATGATAGAAGAGGACGGTTTTCGAACATCTTTTTGGATCAAATTACAATTATCGACTTAAGGATTAGGAAACAAATTAGATAAATATAGGAAACTTAGCTATTTTCTAGGTTAAAGATTAATTTCAGGAAAAATTTTTTAATTTAATTAAATATTTCCTTTATTTAATACCTACTAAATGGGTAAGTTTAATGTTTCGCCATTATCCTTATCCCTACTAAATATAAAATGTGTAACATAGTTTCTATAAAATATTTTCTATTTAAAATCTTTTATGAAATAATTTTAAACACAAAAAATAAATGTCAAATTAATTTAACTGAAGATAAGTTTAAACATTTATTTTCTGAATTGCTTCACATCAGAGGTGAATCGGAAATGACGATATTTAACTAAATATTGATATTTAAATAAATATTTATTTCCTTTTCTCTTTTTAAATAATTATTTTAGTCGAAACTGTCGGGAATCGGAAATCAGAATTCCATTTCACCCTGCTTCACATTTATTAGTTAAAAATTAATAATATTATTAAAATGTCAAAAAGAAAGTAGTTCTATTTACTATAATAGGTCATGGGATTCGTTAGATTGCCATGTTTATTTTAATTATAATTTTTAAAATATTTTCCAAAATAAACTTATTTTTATTGAAAAATTTTGATATTTACCTAAATATTTATTTCCTTTTCTCTTTTTAAATAATTATTTTAAATAATAATAAGAAAAACGACAAAAACAATTTACAGACAACAATATATACTATCCTTATTTTTAATTTAAAAAATCTCATAGACCCCTTTCAATTCCTTCTAATCGTGAGAACCTAAAAATCTCAATTCCCCCCCCTTCCCCCTCCTTATTATTATCCTCTCTCCAACTACCCTCTCCAACTCCCCACTCATTTACACACACCTTTTCGCGCAATTCAACGCCCACTTTCTAAGCTTTCTTTTTGGCACACATTTCCGTGACTTGGCAGCGACATTTTTAAGATAAAGAGAAAGAAAGGCTAGTTATGCCCCTAATCAACAAAAGAAAAAATTTTTTTCTTTCAATCCCTTCACAAATAAAGCGGCGCTTTTACCCACGATATGTGGGCATAAGTGCGTGTAATTTTAATGAGTACAAAATTATTTTATTTTCTTCCAATTTTTATTTTCTCAATTCTTCGAATCTCGACAACTTTTCTTTCATTTTATAAAAATTTTTTTTAATTAGGCCAAAAACTAATTAGACAAGTTTATATTTATGGAAAGACACGCGATTGGGCACATCTTTTTATTTAGGGGGTGTTGGAGAGGAAGGAGATTATGGTAATAAGAAAGAGCTTTCTCTTTGTCTCTTGTAGTTCACTTCTTAAGAAATTTAAAAAATTATTAGAAAATTAAAAATTTAATTTTTTTATATTATAAAATAATTCTCTAAAATTTAAAAAAATTTAAGTTAAAATAAATTAAAAATAAATTTTCTCCCAAATTTATTTTTAACAAAATTGAGACAGTAGCAGGCGGCACCCTACTTCATTTAAAAATACACAGTAATTCTCCCTTAATTTTTTTCATTCACCCGTCAATTTAATAATTCACCCTCTAATTTTAAACTTTTAATTATTAAATTGACGGGAGAACGGGAAAAATTAAGGGAGAATTACTGTGTATTTTTAAATTTTTTTTTAAATTTTGTATTTTTCAAAATAATTCTTCCTCTAATATTAAACTTTTAATTATTTTGAAAAATACAAAATTTCTAAAAAAATTTTATTTTGTATCACTAAATAATTTATTTTGTATTAAAAAACATTTAAATCCAATTTTCGTTTGTTTACGTTCCCACAAACAAATTTTTGTAGACAAAACTATAAAAATATAAAAATACAACTTTTTCCCCTCAAAATTGTAAATTTAAATTGTTAACTATATTTTTATAATAATTGTAGAAAAATACAAAAATTTTGTACGTTTAAAAATAAAAACACATAAGTTGCTTATTTTTAATTAAACTTTATTTTAAATAAAGCAGAGTTGCGTCGTAATCGAAAAACATTTTTTCGTAATCGTAATTCGTAATTTAAAAAAATTTTGTAATTCGTAACTCAAAAAATGCCGCAATTCGTATTCGTACTTTATAAAAAAATATTTAAATTAATTTTAAAAATCAAACATTTATTAATAATAATTGATGCTGCTCGCTTTATTCCCTCCAAGTCTCTTATTTCTCTGATATTATTTCCCAATTTATTCCCTGATATCCCTCTTAATCCCCTTAATTCTCTGATATCTCTTCAATAAATCATGTGGAATCATCATCCCAGATTAAGGGTTTGATATCATTTGATATCACTCAAATGATATCAAACATTTGAGTAAACATTTGATTTCACTTTACCTTCTAATCCCTACAGATCCCCTTATATCCATTCAAACCCGAAACAAGACCTGTGATATTTTTCACACCCCAACTAAAACCCCTACTTCTTTGCAACTTTACACCTTTTCCATAAAACTTTTCACTTCACGGAACTTTTAAATCTATGTATAATCACTTTTCTGCGTCGCAGGCAAAAATTTTGAGAATTTTAGAAAACCTTAGGAGAAAAAATTCAATTGTTAGGCCGGAGTCTTTGAAGTTAGATGGTTATGAAACCAGAACTATTAGTTTTTGGGACCGCAGGCGAAAATTTTGGAAAATTCATGACTTTTTTCGTAATTTTTATTTTTTATTTTCGTAATTCGTAATTTTTCCCGATATTTTCGTAATCATAATTCGTAACTCAAAAAACGCCGTAATTCGTAATTACGACGCAACGCTGAAAAAAAGAAAAAAAGGTTTAAATGGAAAAATAGAATAAACAAGGAAATAAACTTTAAATAAAACTTTTTTGTATTAATTCTGATAATGTTTTATTATTTTAATAAAGTTTATAACTATCAGAAATGTATTTTCTTTTTATCTTTTATGTTTGTTTAAATATTATTCTGATTTTTATTCTGATTTGTTCTAATTATTTATTTTGTGTTTTTAAATGTTTTAAACATTTTTATACAGTCGTGGAAAAAAGTATGGAAGCGCTAGAAAATTTTTTCTTAATTCTTAATTTTTCATTCAAAAAATACGTTCTATATACCAATCGAAAGCTCTATTCGTATCTCAGTTGACATGTTTCTGCATTTTTCATGAAAATGAAAATTGGCCGAGATAATCCGGATCTACCGGATATACCAAATCCCACTTTTTCGGAAAAATTTTTCGGAACAAATTTAACAAACCCAAATGATAAAGCATATTTTTCTGAGTATTTTCCACAAAACCGCTTAGAAATATCATTTTCCGGAGCAGAGATATGATTTTTTGAAAATCGCATTTTTCGCTTAAAAATTGAATTTTTTGCAAAAATAGACGAAAAATGCCATTTTCAAAAAATCATATCTCTGGATCGGAAAATGATATTTCTAAGCGGTTTTGTGGAAAATACTCAGAAAAATATGCTCTATCAGTTGGGTTTGTTAGATTTTTTCCGAAAAATTTTTCCGAAAAAGTGGGATTTGGTATATCCGGTAGATCCGGATTATCTCGGCCAATTTTCATTTTCATGAAAAATGCAGAAACATGTCAACTGAGATACGAATAGAGCTTTCGATTGGTATATAGAACGTATTTTTTGAATGAAAAATTAAGAATTAAGAAAAAATTTTCTAGCGCTTCCATACTTTTTTCCACGACTGTAAGTATGTTTTTACGTTTCAAACATGTTTTTATAAAGATTCTGATTTGATACTAATCCAACCTTGTTTGAAACATGTGTTTTTGAATGTGTTTTTGTTTTTTCCAACTTTGTTTAGTCAGAAATTTATTCCTGTGTTTTTCTGTGTTTCCGTTAAAACTTGTTTTCATTACAACATTTGTTTTATAAGATTAGTGCTTCAAAACATTTCATCATGTTTCAGTCATTCCAACTTTTTCTTACAACTTGTTTTGTTCCAAACAAGTTTATTTATGTTTTGATACCGTGTTTTAGTTGTTGTGATGGAGTTAAAGTTTTATTTATTTTCCAACTTTGTTTCTCTAGCAAGTTTGTATTTTTGCCCAACTTACAAATTAAATAAACTTTTTGTGTTTTAGCCAAACAAAACATTTGTTTAATAAAATGAACACAACATCGCAAACACAAAACAATAATTTATCACAGTTTTGGGCTACCGGACAAACATCAATTCCCCCCATCACTTCTCCACTAGGTGTTTCTAATGTTTTTTATGGAGCACCAACATCACTTAAAGAATCAGAACAAAACAATTCACCTCAACAAAGCCAACTTTTTCAAGCATTATCTTCAACCAGAATTAATTCTACTGAAAATGTTGAACAACAAAAACATTTAAATTCTTTAGCTTCAGACTCTTCTACTAATTCTGTTTTTAATTCTGCTTCTATACAACAAAATAACCAACAGCTTGTTTCGAATAATTTTTCCGGAAATAATAATAATAATGATATTTCTGTTAATTTTCGTTCTCCTCTTTCTGGTAAATTTTTTTAAATTTAAAGGTAAATACCAGAGATGGGATTTCTGTAATACTAGAGGGGAATTTAAAGTACTATTAAGAGTATTCCAATTCACGCCCCATTGAAAATTTTTCTCAAATTAAACTGTTCAATATAATGAGTTATACCGTATTTACTCGATTTATTGCCCTCAAACCGGCAAGAGATGGAAACAATAATTACCAAGTGTACTTAATTAGATACGGTATATATTAGAGACGGACCTGAGAGAGTCATACGAGAATCGAGATTGATCTCGTCTTAATTAATCTTTAGTATACATTAGAGGTCGGTGTGGGACGGGATCCCGCGCGGGATTTTGCGGGATCCCGTCCTGGAATCCTGTAGTCATGCATTTTTTCGATCTGCAGAATGCAGGATTTTGCGTGATTTATCCCGCAGGATCCCGTTTTGCAGCGATTAAAAAAATCCGGGATCCTGCAAACAGTATTTTAACGAGCTCTAGTATACATATTTGTTCACAAAAAATTAAAATAGATTGTAATTTCTTTAGCGAATTCAGCTCCATTTGAATCAGCAACCAACTTTGCCCGTCATTTCCCAACAAATTTACTACCTTCGAGTACTTCGAACCTTTCTTCGGTTGTAGCAGCAAATTTTGATTGTATGGGCCTTATGAATTTTGGACTTTCTTCGAATGGCAATTCTTCAGTAATTGGACATAATCCCTCCTCACAATTCACCGCTTTTTCTCCAACAAATTTCAACTCGACAGCAGCAACACTTCAATCAAATACCTCCGCTGCACTTATGCCTTTCACTATGTGCAACATTTATGCTAATAATGGAGACAGTATTAGCGGTGTAGGAAGTAATGGAATAGGAATAAATAATTCTTCTTTTATTGAAAAACCTACTCCCAAAATAAATCAAATCCAATTTTGTTCAAATAATACATTGACAAATAATCAACAGGTGAATAATTATTGTGACTTAAGTTGATTTGGGGAAATACTTATAAATAAACAATTACCCAAATCTTAATAGTCCAGTAATTGCTTGATGACTTCGAGTTATAGAAAAGCTCATATTATGGGGGAATTTCATTATTGTGTTTGTGAAGTCAGTTTAATAATCTCGCATATACTGATTGTGAGAGTAAAGGTTTCGGAACTGATCTATCCAATATCCAAAATTAAAAAAAATGTTTTTTAAGAACGAATTACAATTAATGGATCTGAGTACCCGAACAGTATCAAATAACTCTAGCAGACCCAACAGTTCTGTCAATTCTAATGATGTCTCAAAAAATAATGGAAATGATTTCATGCATTCGCATATAACAACTATAAGTAAAAATATTTTAATAAATTCGTTGTATTAAGAAAAATTTTGAAAAAAATTTTGAGAAATTTTCTGAGAAAATTGAAATAAAAATCCTGAAAAATATCAAAAGAGCTTTAATCAAATAGGAAGCTTTAGGGACTGGGCCATTAGGGCGCGTGCTTATAAAACAGTGAGTTGCTTATCAAAAAAGATAAAATTTTGCAATAATAACTCTCATGACTTTATCTACATTCTCCAATAATTTCAGAATTTTTTACCAAGAATTTCGTAAATTGTGACCAAAAATGTTGATTTTCCGAAAAAACCCTAATTTTTCGCGGTCTATCGATATAACTTCAGAAATATTCGATGAAAAATTCTGAAATTTCTGGAGGAGGTAGTCTAAGATGTTAAAGAAATTTGAGAAAATTTTCATAAATTTCGGTTTCCCTAAGTGTCAGTTTCTAGTGCTGGCGCCCTAATGGCCCCGCGCCCTTATTACCCCAACCCGAAGCTTTATGGAAGCTCCAAACAGATGGGAAGCTCCAAAATTTAATTTTTCCCTAATTTTACAGAGCTTGAAGGTGAAGGACAACAAAGCGCATTTGGAACTTTTAATGGAGAAAAAATAAAACAAGAAATTATTAATATCCCAAAAGAGTGGGTTTTTTTCAGAAAGAATTTTCAAAAAAAATATTTTTCAATTTCCTTCAGAACAACAATTCCTTTGGAATCTTCCCACGAGGCTACATTCTCCACTACCTCTGAACGTGTCCAAACCCAATTGTGTTGCCAAGTCTGCCACTTGGCTGCTTCAAATGGCCTTCACTTTGGGGCACGGACATGTGCTGCTTGTGCCGCCTTCTTTAGACGGTCAATAAGTGACCAGAAAAGATATATTTGTAAAAAATCTCAACGGTGTGTGATTAGACCAAGCGATATTGGAAGTGGGAAAATTTAAATTTTCAAAAATATTTTTTTAATTTTTAGCGCAAGGATATAGAAAAATATGTAGGAATTGCAGGGTTGGTAGTTTTTATTTTTAAATAATTTTCTGTATTGTTTAGATGAGAAGATGTTTAGATATTGGCATGCTTCCAGAGAGTAAGTAAAAATATTTATAAAATTAATTATAAAAAATAAAATGAAATCCATCCTGATTTTAAGCCCCGCTTTAAATACTAATAAAAATCCGGCTTTAAACCTCTTCCCCACCCCTCCTCTAGATCAAAAAAGGTCAGACAAAGAAGGAATAATTTTTCTATGTTCAAATTCGATCTGGGTGAATGAGGGAGCGACCCAAAAAAATTATGTTCTCCTAAGATATAAATTGAGATAACGTAATTAGAATACATATTGTGTAATGTTAACGAAATTTATCTAATCTAAAAACGAAATTATGACTGATTTAAATTCATTAAATGTATTTCGAAATTTACTCCCTGACAAATAAGATCAGAGATGGGTAGGAACAGTCAGAGGTGTCGGAAATCGGAATTCCGACCCACTCTGCCTGAGTCAAAAGTATTAGATTAGTTCACAGATTTTAAATAATTACTCATCAATTCTTTATTCTAGATGTGCAAAATAAAAGAAATAAACGTGACTATTTCTTCGCAGATACATTAAACAATGCAATTCAAAATAAAGATATTCAACAATCACCTACCACAATGGAACATCAAAATAAACTCCAATCCTTGTCTAGAACAGAAATCGACAAACTTTTGGGACCCCATTTTAATAAATTGACTGAACTTAATGAATCACAATCATTTACAGGTGAGGCAAAAAGGAGTGGCATTGCTCTCATCTTTTCAACTCTTTGCCTCTCTTCTCCTAATTGTTCGCGATTATGGATATCCAGAACGGAAAAAAATCCAGGCAATCCTTCGGTTTTGTGGTCCCAACAAAAAATATGTTTAGTATATATTTTTAGTCGCCAAGGGTTTAGTTATGTCAAAATAAACGGTCGACGTCGAGTCCCATAGCACCAACATGAAATAGAGCTTTCATTGACTGAATAAATTTAAAAATTCTCTAGAAATAACTAAAAAAATAATCGTTTAAATTAATCGTAAAAATTTAAACAAAAACTAAAAATCCTAAGAGGTTCCAATAATTTCTATTAGAGGGATTTTACAAGCCCCCCCCCCCTCAGCCCCATTCTTGAAATGATCCCAAATGCGGAATTTGGAATTTTTTATATATTCATTTGACCCAACTGTGGGTGAGCTTAGAACCTCGTTTCGGAGTAGTTCCATAGGTGGAACATAATTTTACATACATTTTCCGACCCTATCCTAAAAAGAAGGCGCCTTGAATTTTTTTCATCATTTTTTTCCAACTTTAATATGTATATAATTAATGGTCATTCTTTTCTGCTTCGTTCAACTCCACTCTTTTTACCTGTGGCATATTCAAATGAGACGACAGAAAAATACACTCACGGACAGACAATCACGGCGAAACACGGACAAACAAAGACAGACAAAGCACGGACGAGCACGGACAAACACGGATGGGTAATCCTGCAGAATCTGGGAGACACCTTAAAAACACCTTAAAAATTATTATTTTTTTCTGAAAAAATTTTGCTTAGGTAATCGACCATGCTGATCACGAATCTGAGCTTAGAATTTGTTTATTTCGAATCCCGGACTCGATTTCGACCAAGTCGAAATTCGGAGTAAAAATTCGATATTAAGAATTTAGGGCTAATCTGATTCGCGTTTTCGAGCTGAGTCGAATGCCACCGAAATTACCGCGATCCGACTCCATAGGGTCGAGTTACAGACCCCCGAAATTTGAAAATTTTTGGGGTCAAAAAATCGAAAATCCAAATAATAGCTCATTCGAGAGAACTCGACGAGCTGAGTTGAATGACACCAGAATCAACTCGATTGAATGATTCTGAACAAAGTTATGACCAACGGAATCTTCGGTGGAAAACCTGTGGGAATATACTAAAGTGCCTCCAAATCAAGTATATGATAAATATCATAGATAAAATGTCACATTTGACAGAATCTGATATCAGATTCGTAATCAGCATGGTCGATTACCTACAAAAAATTATTTTCAGAAGAAAATAATAATTTTTAAGGTGTTTTTAAGGTGTCTCCCAGATTCTGCAGGATTACCCACGGATGAATACAGACAGACAAAACACGGACGAGTACAGAAGACAAAACACGGACGAGCACGGACAAACACGGACAGACAAAACACGGACGAGTACAGACAGATAAAACACGGACGAGCACGGACAAACACGGACAGACAAAACACGGACGAGTACAGACAGATAAAACACGGACGAGCACGGACAAACACGGACGAGCACGGATGAATACGGACAGACAAAGCACGGACGAGCACGGACAGACGAAACAAGGTTGTGTTTGTCCGTCCGTGTTTTGTCTGTAGTGTATGTGCTTTTCTGTTCAATTGAATATGCCAAAGGTAAAAAGAGTGGAATTGAACGAGGAAGAAAAGACTGACCATTTTTATATATTAAGGTTGGAAAAAAATGATGGAAAAAAATCAAGGCGCCCTCTTTTTAGGATAGGGCCCATTCCGATCTAGAAGAATGTATAAAAAATTTTGAATTAAATTTATTTTTTAAGACTAACATTCTAATATATTCACTCATTTTCACAGTTCCAACACAATTCCAAGCACTAACTCAACAACAACAAAACTTATTGACATCCACATTAATAAATGAAACTCAGAACCCTTTGACTAACCTAGTTTGAATCAACAAGACTAAAAAATCAAAATTTCATTTTTTTGGAATTTGAGAACCTCGAGAAAACAAAAATAAAATTTTTCCAAAAATAATTTTAAAATCTTTATTTTTTTAAAATAAAATATAAATGTAGTCTAAAAATAAAATTAGACACCAGAACAAAATTTTGCAGAAAAAATAGAGAAAAAATCAAATAATTTTATTTTTTTTTGACTAAACATCAAATACCTCAAAATTCATTTTTTAATCGCTTCTTGCTTCTTTTTGTAATCATTAACGGCGGCTGATATAGCGTCCGCCGCCAACACTTGAAAGAAAAAAAATATTTTTAAAATTATTTTTATTGTTAATTTTAAAAACTGTCTCTCGCCCCCCACCCTAAACCCTCCCGATTGGCCCTTAATTCTTGTATGAGTCAAAGTTTTAGAATGTTTGGATTGACTCATTGCCAACTAGCCTAGACGAGACATATTGGCAATCCCGGAGAATTGGGGTTTCTTCGAAAAAAAGTTTGAAAATAAGAAAAAGGATTTTTCTAGGGTAAAAAAATATGCTGATTACGAATCTGAACTCGGATTTTGAAAAAGTCGAATCCCGGACCCGAATTCGGAATTTGACCCCGGACATTGTCGGACATTGTACAAAATGGTCAGTCTTTCATATACAGGTAGAACTCATCGAGATGCATCGAATGACACCAAAATCGATGAAATCCGACATGATTGGACCGAGATACAGACCCCGGAATATTGAAAAACTATAAGGGTGATTTTTTGGAGTAAAAAAAGTTTATGCAAATGATAGCTCATTCGAAAGAGCTCGTCGAGCTGAGTCGAATGACACCAAAATTACAGTGATTCATCAAATTTTGGCAAAGTTATGACATAAGTCGCCGACTCCTACAGTACTCACATAGGTATACTTTTTGTCATAACTTTGTCCGATCAAGTCAGATTTCGTTGATTTTGGTGTCATTCGATGCAGCTCGATGAGCTCTTTCGAATGAGGTATCATTTGTATATTCGAAATTCGGGTTCAGGGTTCGAAATTTGGTTCGGGTCCGGGATTCGACTTTTTCAAAATCCGAGTTCAGATTCGTAATCAGCATATTTTTTTACTCTAGAAAAATCCTTTTTCTTATTTTTAAACTTTTTTTTCGAAGAAACCCCAATTCTCCGGGATTGCCGACATATTAATTTATCACTTACGAGCGTTTAGGTGCCGCTTCGCGGCACCTAAACGCTCGTACAATAGTTTTAAATTTAAAAAACCGGAATTTAAATTTTTCGGTTTTTTTAAGAAGTCAGTTTTTATAAGGAAATAAAACGAAATCACACAAAATAAAGAAACATGCGCATATCTAAACATATGATTTGAGGAAAGGGAGATATCAGGAAAACTTATACATAAAACTGAATGCATATGCCCCTAAATTATTTCGCACTTGTTCAAACCAAATTTAATATTTGTGGGATATCAGATTGTGTTAGGGAAATTTGGAGGGATTAAATAGTATCAGAGTAGCGTTTGACAAAAACTCCATTTATTTTCTTTTTTTCGTTGCAAGGCGTTTTGGCACTAATTATAGCCTATTTTTTCGTTTTTAAGAATTTGGAAAATTGCTGTTTTAGGACTGCGGGGCCAAAAAATGCGTGCTTAAAAAGCAGAAGGAAAACTTTAAGCTATTAAAAAAGTTTTTGTAATTTAAATTGTTTTATCTTGTTTTTCTAAATTTAAATTAAAAGTTGTGTTTCTTTCGATACTGAAACGTTTTTTAAAAATTTTAAGTTTTGTTTCGTCCGAATAATTTTTTACAGTGCATGTTTGCACTTGGTTTCACTCATTGAAATTTATCCCCTCAAATCCGCCCATATCTCACCTATGCCGTCTAGATCCTACATACAATCCATAGAGCACATGTATTCCTTTTGAATTTTCAAAACACACATTATCCAATTAATACATTTTATCTTGCTAAACTATTAAGACAAATTTGCGTTTTGCTTTCGATATTTTTACAAATTTTCGATAGATAAAAAACGATTTGCTTTGTTGATATAGGGCACGAAGGACAACGTTTTTAGTAAATCATGCACCAAAGATACATAAAATTCTCAATGCCGCTAGAGAGAACATCAAATATTTGATCATTTTTTTTTGTTTGCACAAATACTTGTTTGATGATGTATTAGATCAAATAATTTGGAAATTATTAGATTTTCCAAAAATACATTTTTTGGTTAGAAAATGGTGAAAAGCTATTTAACACCATATTTTTTACAAATTTTGCCGCTGGTGCTAAAGGTTATATTTGATCAATTATTTGTATTTGATCAAGAATGTATTTGATCAATTTATATTTGATCAAGAATCTTTTCACAGTACTAACTACGGGTTTTTAAAGCATTTATCGAATATAACTTAAAGTTTGTATTTTGGTTTGTTTGGATTTTGCGGAGTTTATTTTTTTGTTATTTGAAGATTAAAAGTGATATCTGGGGGTTATATGGGAATTAAGATGGATATATGGGGATTTGTAGGGATAACAGTAGTTTAAAGGTGCTATATGGTGGTATGGATTCGGAGGAAAATCGGGGGTTTAAATGGGGTCTCGGCGGATTTGTATGGATTCCGATGAATTCGCACGGATTTCGGTAGTTTTGAATGAACATAATTTTTGGACGATATCTGTCGATTAAAGATTAAAGAATAAGAATTCACATTGTTTTCGCTTGTGGTCCTCAAAATGAACAAATCTGGCTTTTTGCTTCCAAAATTCTCAATTTCCACCTGCGACGCAATAAAGTACAAAATCTGCTGCTTGATCGACTAAAATTTTAAAGTGCAACTGCTTAAAGTGCAGCTGTTTGAAGTAATATATTAAGTTGATTAAAGAAGGAACCTTACAAATCTCTTGTTATCTACCATTATTTGCTTCAAATCCATAATCTCCATACTTAACCCTCAAAATTACTTTCATCCTTTTAAACATCCTTGCATCCTTTTTACCCTTAATACCTCTAAAGCCACTCTTATCTTCAGGGAAACATTTATTCCCTTCAAATCCACTTGATATCTGCAAAATCACTTATATTCCCAGATATACCCATTAGTCACTCCAAATCCCCATTAATTCCTGAGAATTAACCAAAATATCTCGTGAGCGTTATATTTTTAGATATAACGCTTTCAGCTTATTCACAAAATTTTACTCTCTGATTTATGTATTGCCTCGCAGATTTTCCAAATTCAAAATAACTTAATGATCCAACATACCGTATTTACTCAAATAATTACCCTGGGTAATTATTGTTTCGATCTCTCGCTGGAGGGGGTAATTAATAGGGAGGGGGTAATTATTTGAGAGAGGGTAATTATTATTCCGACCTTTATATTTTTATTTTATCATAGGCATATGAACAGGAATATACAATACGTTACCAAATACGGAGATAAAAAGTTGCGTTTTAACTTTATTATTCCTTAATATTTCCCAAAAACAGTATTATAACATAAATACTTCCGTCCTGGAATATATAAAAGCATCATGGACATGTATTTAAATACGTATATTTCCTGTTAGAGGTTATAATATCAATTTTTTAATATATGCTATATAATGTACTCAAAATAGTACTATTCCAACAATAATTCCGTCTATGGATTTATAAAGGCATAAAGTCATGCGAGGATTTAAGGTATTTTGAAGGATTTATGAGATATAAGGAATAAGGCTTATATACTTAAAAATCTTAATCTCCCATTATCTCACAAAATCTCTTAATCCCCTCAATTTCCCTCTTAATCCACAAAATCCTCGATTTTCCCCTAAATCTTTGAATGTCTCGATTCATTCCATGATATTGATCGGCAAAATGTTTCATTATTAAATTCGATGATTTTCAATAAATATTTTTAAAATCAGTAGGAAAAATAAGGGGTAATTATTTGAGAGAGGGTAATTGTTTGTGTAAATACGGTAGTTTTATTACAGCCTTATCTCAGCAGTTAGATCTATAATTTTCGCATAAATTAGAAATCTCTAAGCCTCCAAATCAACAATATTCCTCGAAATCCCTTGCAAATCCCGAAAGCCCTCTTGATACCACAAAACCCTCAATATCCCGCTTACTCCCCAAGTCGCCCTTTTTCCTCCCCTAAAATCCTTTAATATTCCTCATTGCCCCATAAACCTCTGTGTTTGGGTGTACTCAACTGTGTTAACCAAATATTGTTCCATTAAAGTTTGATAGTTGCTAAAGTCTGATACAAAATGGCTGCGAATAATTTTCAACAAATTAAATGTGTGCGATTTTATGGCACGCGGCTGGTAATCCCTGCGATTAAATGGCGGACGGCTGGTTGTTTTTTGTTTACGGTTAAATTTTCAGCGAAAATTAGAGAAAAACAACTTTCTTTGCGAAAAAGTGCTGAGTAAGAGAACACTTACGCGTATGTGTTAGAGAGGTTTATTCTCTTTATTATTCTCTTTTATTTTCAGTCTTTTGTTTGTTTTTCTCTGAATTAACATTAAAAAATTTTCGCTTTAATAAAAATTCACTTTTTTAAGATGAAAAACTTGTAAACAATTATATCGTTTTAGTATAGTTAATTATTAGTTATCTTAACCTGGAAAACATGCTGGCGGAAATATAAAAGGGGGAGGGGAAATTGCTACCAAAAATTCATCAAAAATTCTAAAAAGCTCTCATAATATCATTTCTCAAAAAATGTAAATTTAAGCATTTAAAAACAGAAAAAAACAAACTGCTGCAGTGTAATTTGACAGGTGGAAGAGAAAGTTCTTTTGCAATTTGTTGATTCTTTATTTTTGCAGCAAAATCCAAATGCTGTCCTTTAATCATTTCTGTAGCTAAAGAAGAACTTGCAATTGCTGATCCACAACCAAAAGTTTTGAATTTGGCATCGACAATTTTCCCATTCTCATCAACCTAATAAATAAAGGGGAAAATTAGATTTTAATAAAAAAAAATTAAAGTTTAAAATTAAACCAGAAATAGCAAAAAATAAACAAAAAAATGAATACAGGTAAACCTCGATTGTACGTTGATTCACGGGATGGTAACGGCGTAAGTAAAGCCGTTTAAATGAAATAAAGCAGGGCTCCGATCGACAAAATGCCACTCAAAAGTATCAAAATCTTGTAAAAAAAGTACATAGGGAGAAAATTTGCAAATAAAAAGTACACTCAAAATTAAATTTGAAAATATTTATTCGTGATCAATCTTTTATATTTCTCTCCTAAATTATTCTTTTCTAATAATTTCTTGTTTCAACTGAGCATTTTGTGCATTTCATTGCATGACATGTCAAAATTTGCTGTCACATGAAGCAAAGCTCTGACAGTCAACCTCAAGCGAGTTTCTTTCCTTCGTCCATTGAATGTTTGCCATTGAGAAGCGCCGCAGGCGAAAATTTTTTGAAATTTGGAGCCTAAGAAGCCAGATTTCTTCTTTTTCAGCGCCGCAGGCGAAAATTTTAAGAATTTTGGAGGTCCTTAAGCCAGATTTCTTCCATTTTTTGCGCCGCAGGCGAAAATTTTGAGAATTTTGGAGGTCCTTAAGCCAGATTTCTTCCATTTTTTGCGCCGCAGGCGAAAATTTTGAGAATTTTGGAGGTCCTTAAGCCAGATTTCTTCGTTTTTTCAAAAATGTTGATAAAAAAGTACATACTTTCAAAAAAGTACAAATTCAATTTCGGAAGTACGAAGGTCGATAAAAAAGTACAATACTTTTAAAAAAGTACGAATCGGAGCCCTGAAATAAAGGATATCAGTCAGTCACCTTCCCAATTTAGTGACTTCTCAAAATGTACATAAAATAGAACAAGAATTTGGGTCCACGTACAACAACCGGGCCAGAATTACAAAAAGATTTAGGAAACATCCCTAGATTTTTAAGACTAAAAAAATTAAAGAGAAACCCCGAAAATATGACTTAATTGTAATTTCAAACCTTTATCTGCAATTTCATAACATCCCCGCAGGCAGGGGCTCCAACTAATCCCGTGCCTATTGTAGGGTCATTTTTGTCCAAAGAGCCGACATTTTTTGGATTTTTATAATGATCTAAGACGTTTTGATGGTAAAAGGAAGTTGCTTCAATTTTGTTGAAATTTTTAATAAGATTTAATGACGAACGTAACATTATTCTAAAAATAAGGGAAATTTAGACAAAACACAATAGAAAACTTGAAATACATAGGCTATATTTACTCAAAAAACCAAAAGAAATTCTTAACATTTCTGATTTCGAAATATTTAAAAAAAGACACGACCAAGTAGGCGCGAGACCATAACGGCGCAAAGCCATAACTTGCTAGAAAATTTCTTTCCGTTATCAATTTTGGTACAAATCTCTTTAGCTCGATGAGATGAAGATTTTAATACTAAATTTGGTAAAATTCGAAAATCTTGAAGCCAGTTATTGTGTTACGCCTTTATGGCCGCGCGCCTACTTGGTACCCATAAAAAAAGTAAAGAAACAAATTATTCCTTAAATAATGAAATCACTTCTTTCTATATTTCTCTAATTTATAATTCTTCACACTCTCTCACATAAAATGAAAAAATATATAATTACATAATATCTAATTTAAAAATGTCAAGTAGGGCAAAAATTGCCTAATAATCTTTATTTTTCTCTAACTTCTATTAATTCTGTGTTCTCTTACCTAAAAGTGTAAAATTTGGAAAAATACAAAATATCAAATTTTAAAATGTCCAGCACGACGAAAATGACTAATATTAACAATCTTTAGTCTTTAAACTCTATTCCGACGACATCCGTGATTTTTTATTTATTTTTATAAATACTTTTGACTCTTGACCAATTGTTTGCAGTCAGTCTGCTTTAGGTGGATGGCTGTTATTATTTTTTTGTTGTGAAAATAGTAGTCTTTCATTTCAATCCTTTTCCTCAAATCAATATTCTTTTTAATAATTTTTACAATTTTTTTAGTTTTTCGTAACAAAAATAAAAAAAGCTTTTTTTAGATTCGATTATTTTAACTTTCAATTTAATCTCTAACAATGCGTGAGATTGTTCATATCCAAGCTGGCCAATGTGGAAACCAAATCGGTTCAAAGGTATGTGTTAATTTACCCCCCCCCCCTTTTAGAGCATATTTCTAACTTAAATGCTTAGGTTGGATGTATACACTTCCAGGCAATACATATATTAGGTTTTTTGTTTAACCAAGACCAGTTTATTAGTCCAATTCAATAGATTTTTGGTTTTGGGGTTATTAAGTTTATTGACATTGTCTATCGTTTATAATGAGCAATCATTTATATTTCTTGAAAAAGAAATCTCTTGCCAGCAAAAATCGTGTTTTTTTCGACAATCGATTTGTTCAGATGCGATCTCGAAATATTCAAGACAGGATAATGTTAGGAAAAACTACGGAAAACGCGGGATTTTTATCAATGCTTTTTCCTAAAATTTGATTTTTCCCCCTAAAAATTAATTAAAAGATTCAAACTATAATGAAACAAATTTAAGTTCTGGGAGGTCATTTCTGACGAACATGGCATTCAACCTGATGGAACGTACAAGGGGGAATCTGATTTACAACTTGAAAGGATTAATGTTTACTACAACGAGGCTCACGGTTTTTTACTTTTAATTATTGTTTAATTTCAATCTTAGGTGGCAAATACGTCCCAAGAGCTATTCTTGTCGATCTTGAGCCTGGAACAATGGATTCAATCAAGGCCGGCCCTGACGGTCAACTTTTCCGTCCTGACAATTTTGTTTTTGGTCAGAGTGGTGCTGGCAATAATTGGGCGAAAGGGCATTATACTGAGGGTGCTGAATTGGTCGATAATGTTTTGGATGTTGTCAGAAAGGAGGCAGAAGGATGCGATTGTTTACAAGGATTTCAGTTAACCCATTCGCTTGGAGGAGGAACTGGTTCTGGAATGGGGACTTTGTTAATTTCGAAAATAAGAGAAGAATACCCTGATCGTATTATGTCGTCTTTTTCTGTTGTTCCGTCGCCAAAGGTTTTTTAATGCTTAATGTTAAATAGAGTTTGAATAAAAGGGAATTAGAGGCAATATCTACCTTACACCCAGATTGAATTGCTTTCTTATTAACTATGTTTTATAAGATAGAAAGGGATCTTGGTTTTCTTCAGACCTTTAATGTCCTGTTCATTGATTTTAGCTCCTCACCTGAAATCAGAGAATTGTCGGATTTTCCTCTCTACCTAACTGTTCGGATCCTTCTTTAGTTCAGAAAAAATCTAGGAATCTTGAAATGCTTAATTCGGGATTCGATCAAACCAGCCTTGACGGTCAACTTTCAAGCAGAATGTTAAAATTCAAAGCTAAATTTTAAATTTTGATTTTTAAACCATTTTAAGGTCTCTGACACCGTTGTCGAACCTTACAATGCTACTCTTTCTGTTCACCAGCTTGTTGAAAACACGGATGAAACTTATTGTATAGACAACGAAGCTTTGTATGACATTTGCTTTCGTACTCTTAAATTGACAAATCCTACTTATAGCGATTTGAATCATTTAGGTCTGTTTAAATTCTTTTTTTCTTTTACTTTACTGGTTCTAACTATTTTTAACACGGGTTTCACTGAAATTTGTTTGTCGTATTTCTTTTCCCACTAATTCAATTTTATTAATTTTTAGTTTCGATGACCATGTCTGGTGTTACCACTTGTCTACGTTTCCCAGGCCAATTAAACGCTGATCTTCGAAAATTAGCTGTCAACATGGTTCCATTTCCACGTCTCCACTTTTTTATGCCTGGATTTGCGCCTCTCTCTGCCAAAGGCTCTGCTGCTTATCACGCTCAAAATGTTTCTGAATTAACTAAACAAATGTTTGATGCCAAAAATATGATGGCTGCTTGTGATCCTCGTCATGGACGTTATCTAACCGTTGCAGCAATATTCCGTGGCCGCATGTCAATGCGTGAGGTTGACGATCAAATGATGTCAGTACAAAGCAAAAATTCTTCATATTTTGTTGAGTGGATACCAAATAATGTCAAAACAGCGGTTTGTGATATTCCACCGCGTGGTCTTAAAATGTCTGCTACTTTTATTGGAAACTCTACTGCAATTCAGGAATTGTTTAAACGAGTTTCTGAGCAATTTACAGGTTTTTATTTTTTTGACTTGTTTGGTTGTTGAAATTTAAATATAATTTATATCTGTAAAAAGGTTTGAACTAATATTGGATCCCACCTTACTGAACTCGAACTCAGGATTTTTATAATTGTTGTGAGAATCGAGCCGTAATATGTTGAATTATTTGAGTAGTGTCTACAATTCTATAAGTTTTAAAATTTCTTTTTTCCTTAAGAACCTTTTTCTGGTTAATCCCTATTTCTTTCCTTTTTGCGGATATGTAAATCTCGTGGATGTCTATTTAATAACAATTTCATTTAAAGCAATGTTCCGTCGCAAGGCATTTTTGCATTGGTATACTGGTGAGGGAATGGATGAAATGGAGTTTACTGAAGCTGAATCTAATATGAATGATTTGGTTTGTTTTTTTAGATTTTTTTACACATTTTTATGTAAATATTTAAACCTGAGAAATTTTAAAATATTAAGAAAATTTTTGGTCAACGTCAAGCATTCTCTTGGGAAAATTCTTTGACTGCTATTTTTGGGGGTTTTTTAAACTTTTCTCATTTAAGGTGTCAGAGTATCAACAATACCAAGATGCGACAGCTGATGATGAAGTAGAATACGATGCTGAGATAACTGAGCCGTTGGTAAATGAGCAATAAATAATCTTGACATTAACAAATATAAAAATACAATTTTTGGTTTTTGTGCCTTCTATTTATTTTACTACAATTTTTTTAAAGAAGAGCTGCCTTGTTGTTTTCAGTTATTTTTAAAGTGTATGAAAATAATAAGACACCAGTTCTATTTTTCTTAGCCATCTTAAAAAGTTTTTCTTTAAGTTCTTCATTCTTGCACAGATAACGTATACACTCTAATAATTACCCCGGTAATTATTTTCTCGCTATAGGGGTAATTATTTTCAGCAAATGCGTTACCCATGTTTAAATTATATCGTAAAATCGTTTGGTTTTAATTTCGAATAAAAACAAATAATTTTGTCATATTCAACATTGTTTTATTGTGGTATTTTACATATTTCTATGGGTCGTCTACATAAATGTATTAGAAAGAGATTTACCCATCTATCAAATCTCGAACAAAAATTGAATGCCGAGCCGAGAACTGGCGCCCTTTTATGGCTGAAATCGGAATGAAAACTATTTTTGTGAATGAAGATTTTACTTAAAAAATACATAGAACATAATCTATTAATGCTAATAAATTTATAAATCAAGAAATTATTAGAAAGGAAAATAGTGAAAATTTTATTATGTCAGATTGGGCAATTGAAAGACGTCGAACTGAGAAATATAAAGTGAATGATGATAATGGGGATAAAACTTGAGTAGGGATAAAACTTGTCTACATCCTTGAGTGCAAATTTGATGATGATCGTTTTGCTTAAAAATTAATTTTTGGAAATAATTATTCATCTCTTACATTTTCTAATAATTTTGTAGAAGCTTCGATAAAAACACTAAGAAATTTATTGCCAAACTTTCGTATTCTTACAGTTGTATCCAGTAGTGTTGGGCACGAGACGATATATCGACGATATTTTTTGAGATATCGCGAGATTTTTTTCGAGATTATCGATCTCGATCTCGTCTCGATCAATTTTTGAAAAAATCGAGATTTTTCGATATCGAGATTTTTCGAGATTATCGATCTCGTATCGGTCAAGTCAGAAAGACGTCTTTGACTACAGGCGATCACTTTTGAGTCCAGTAAATGCAGAAATGTTAATTTTTCTGAACCAATTTTTGGCAATTTGGCAATTTTTTGTGGCAAATTTACATTTAGATCATAATTATATTGAGTGAAATAAATTTTTATTCAATTCTAAGGGATTATAAAAATATCGAAATATCGCGATAATCTCGAAAATTTTGGACCGAGATTTTTCGATATCGAGATTTTTCGAGATTATCGATCTCGATCTCGTCTCGATCAATTTTTGGAAAAATCGAGATTTTTTCGATATCGAGATTTTTCGATAATCTCGATCTCGAAAAATCGCAAATGCCTAACACTAGTATCCAGGCTTGATTAGTAGTTCTGAGCTTGTGTTTTGACTCAATTTTTAATTCATTTTTCCTTCTCAAAATTCGTTCGGGATCGGGTGCAACACTAGGTACCACCGATCCAAATTACCTTAAATGTTATTTTCAATTTTTGGCTTGGAATAGCAAGTAACCCTAAGCTAACCTGATTTATTCTTGACGACTTAAAACGAGGCTTTTTTAGAAATAGTCAATTTATTTTTCCATTTTCCCACGATAATTTTAATTAAACTTACACTTTAATTAGCTTAATTTAAAAACAAAAATATTTATTATTAAAGGTCAATGTACTTTCATTTCAACGATTTGTTTTAAAATTTTTTTAACAAGGATATTATAATCGCTTTTTTAATTTCATATTTGTCTGCCATTAATTCATTTCGACACCTAGCATTATTTACTTTCACTCCAATATAATAAACAAGCAATTTTATAGTTTTGTAAAGCATATAGCTATTTAATTCTTAAGGCTGTGCAATAGGCGGCGTGGTGTAATGGCTAACAAATCAGTCCGTTCTCTGAAGATGCTGGTTCACAACCAGCCGCCGAATAACCTTTTGCATTAGCTAAAGGAGAGAAATAGCTATAGCCCAGCTGCTTTACTGTTTTTTGCGTCATTTTATTAAATGATGCAAAAAATAAAATTTAATGAGTTTCACTTTGAAAAAAGTCTAAAGAAAAAGTGGTAATATGCTTTTTAATTTCATTATATGTCTGCCATTTCGACACCTAGCATTATTGAGCAATTTTGATAGTTTTTTCGTCATTTTATTAAAAACAGAAAAATAAAATTTTGTGAGTTTTACTTTTAAGAAAGTCTAAAAGAATAAATCATATTAATTGGCGCACTCTGTTAATTCCTAATTTATAGAGTTGTGAATTTTATGCATTAAAAAATGGAAAATATGCACTATAATATGCACATAAAAATACCAAAATATGCACGAAAATATGCAAGAAAACCAAAATATGCATGCAAGTATGCAAGAAAAATACAAATTATACCTAGAAATTTCACATTTTTTAGTCAAAAACATCCAAAAACATATTTTTTAACGATTACTCTCATTTTAAACGTATAGTTTGAGTATTTTTACGTTATTGGACATTTTGAGATGTGACGTTTTGGCGGTGTGACATTTTAGTGTGGGACATTTTTGGGTTGCGACATTATGGGTCCTGGACATTTTTTGGGGCGCGCCCAAAAACAAAAAATTTTTTTACAAAATTTGTAATTTTTACAAATTTTTCCTAAATTTTTACATAATTTTCCGAAATTTTTACTAAATTTCCATTTTTTGGCAGGATTTTGGACAATTTTCGCGATATTTTCCCCAAAACCCTCAAAATATGCATTAAAATATGCATTATGCATCAAAGTCCGGAATATGCAAAAATATGCATTATATGCAAATAGAAACCCCCTCTAAAGTTTTCAAAACATGCGGAAACAGTGTTTTTTGTGCATTATACGTCAAGACAAGTTTGCAAAAAAAATATGCATTTGCATAAAAATCACAACTCTACTAATTTAGTTTAGATGAATCTTATTAACGTCTTAATCCTTTTAATATTCAATTCGATATTATGGGGTTCAATTAATTCTGTGAAAAATAAAAAAGATCAAAAGATAATTGAAGAAACTGATCAGAATTTAGTGGATTTTGATGGGAAATTAAGCAAGGAGGCTGAATCATCGGTTAATCCTCAAAGTCAAAAATATAAGACTGCCATAAAACTACTAAATCACAAACCTACTATAATTACAAAAAAGGACTTGAAAGGAATGAATGAGGATGAAAAAAGATTAAGGAGAGCTAAATATTTGGAAGATTACCGTCAAAAGAATAAAGAAAAGATAAAAGAGGGTTATCGGAAATATTATCAAAATAATAAAAAAGAAAGGAAAGAATATCAGCGAAAATATAGTGAAAATAATAAGGAAAAAAAGAGAGAATATGAAAGAAAATACAACCAAAAGAATAGACAAAAGATAAACGAAAATAAAAGAAAATACCGATTAAAAAAGAAAAATGAAAAAGGACAAAAGGAAAATTTAGCTAATATTCAGTCAGATAATAATAAAGGAAACTCACAAAATGATTGTGTAGATAAAGGAAAAAATCCGATTGTTTGCGAAGAGATCGGCCAAGAAGATCATTTAAATCAAGGATCTTCTCAAAAGTCCCTTCCCCATAATGAGGAAGGAAATTTATCTGTTAATCCACAAACGGATGGTTGTGTTAACCCTCATGAAAAAGAAAATGTTCAAACGGAAAATGTTCAACAATTAAATGAACTGAATGATTTGGATTATCTGAAATTTTTGTCTGATATTAATTACTTGGATAATTTAAATTTCTTAAGAAATTGTGATGATATGTAAACAGTATAAGCGAAGTTTTAATTTGAAAATTTTTTTTCGTGCGACATTTATTTTTATTTTAACTAATTGTAAATCATTTCTGAAATGTATTAATTAAACTACCTTCAAGTTAAAAAATTATTTTTATTATTATTATTAGCTAATGGTTACCTACGTTTATATTTGTATCGTAAAACCGTTTCGTTCTAGCCCTTAAACAGTTTAGTATAAAAGCCAGCCAATAGTTCTTTCTTCTTCTTGTCTCAGTCTTATTCTTTCTACCAACCTTAACCTTCATCTTATTGTATCTTCTACGTGTGATAAAGTATCTGTTGTGAGCGTCTACGTAAGCGGGGACATAACAGATTTTTGGCGGGAGTATTGCGAAAGACGGAAAACGCCTGGAAAGTGCCAGTATTGAAAAGTATTGTTACCAGGACGTATAAATAAATCTGTCGACACGAATGGAGTAATATGAAGGAAATGTTAAATGAAGATATTCAGAAATTGAACAATAGTAAGGTGAAAGTAGTCAGTGAAAGTAGCAAAAGTCTACGTAAGCTGCGACATAACACCATTTTCTCACGATAATCTTAATTAAACTTACACTTTAATTTGCTTATAATTTAAAAACAAAAATATTTATTAAAGGTCTATGTACTTTCCTTTCAACGAATTGTTTTAAGTTATTGAAATGAATATTACAATTGCTTTTTTAATTTCATTATGCATATGTCTGCCATTTCGATACTAGCATTATTGACCTTTCATTCCTATATAATAAGCAAGCAATTTTGATAGTTTTTTCCGTCATTTCATTTTTAATAAGTTTGACTTTTAAGAAAGTCTAAAAGAAAAAAGTCCTCTTAATTTGGCGCGCTCTGTTAATTTTTAATTCAATTTAAATGAATCTTATTAATGTCTTAATCCTTTTAATATTCAATTCGATATTATGGGGTTCAATTAATTCTGTGAAAAATAAAAAAGATCAAAAGTTAAATGAAGAAACTAATCAAAATTTAGCTGAAAAGGAGCCTGAATCATCGGCTAATCCTCAAAGTCAAAAATATAAAAATGCGAAACCTACTGAAACTACAAAAAACATAAAAGGAATGAATGAGGATGAAAAAAAATTATGGAGAGCTAACTATTGGAAAGATTACAGTCAAAAGAATAAAGAAAGGTTAAGAGAGCGTAAGCAAAAGTATAATCAAGATAATAAGGAAAAAAGGCGAGAATATAGTAGAAAGTATACCGAAAATAATGAAAGAAAGAGAGAATATGATCGAGAATACGTAAAAAATAATAAGGAAAAAAGACGAGAATATATGCGAGAATACCGTTTAAAAAAGAAAAATGAAAAAAGACAAAAGGATTGTCTAAATTTAGCTAACATTCAATCAGATAATGATAAAGGAAATTTACATAATGATTGTGTAGATAAAGGAAATAATCCGATTGTTTGCGAAAAGAACGATCAAGAAGAGAACGATTCTTTAAATCAAGGATCTTCTCAAAAGTATGATCTTCCCCATATTGAGGAAGGAAATTCATCTGTTAATCAACAAACGGATGTTAACCCTCAAGAGAACCCTCATGAAGAAGAAAATGTTCAAATGGAAAATTCTCAACAATTAAATGAACTGAATGATTTGGATTATCTGAAATTTTTGTCTGATATTAATTATTTGGATAATTTAAATTTCTTAAGAAATTGTGATGATAAGTAAATAAATATAAGCAAATTTTCAATTTAAAAAATTTTTTTCGTAAAAGAAAATTTATTTTTATTTTAACAAATTGTAAATAATTTTATTAACTGTATTAAATAAACTATTTTCTAGTTAAAAAATAATTTTTTGTCTTTAAATGCTGCTTCGCGACACGTGAACACTAATTAAAAATTATTGATATGAATGATTGATTGTCGGTCTTGCCAAATTTTCCTATTAACTGAAACGGAACAACCCCGAACCCCATATATTTAGCCTCGGTCCTCGGCGAGGTTCTTGTCGAGGCCGAAACCAGATTCCGAGGCCCTAGATCAGCAAAATCGAGGTCGAAGTTTGGAAATGGGCGAGGACCTCGCCGAGGCCTCGACCTCGACCAACTCTATCTGAAACTATAGATTTGGCTAATCCTTTCTAAATTTGCAAAGATCCCTTTGTTAATTCATCCTTCCCCAAATACTTCTAAATTAGACTGAAGTTTAATTATGTTAAAATTAAAGCCAAATACACTGATTTTATGCTCAAAAATCAGTCAAAATTACTGATCATACAAAGGTAGTGATTAAAGCCCTACTTAGAGATCGGTCACTAAAAAATCTGGAATTTTGAGCGAGATCTCTCTCTCCCTCTCTCTCAGTCCAATCTCTAGGTAATAATTATTTCTATACAATTATTTTTGACTAAATTTTCTCTCCCAAATACATACAAAGGTCAAATAAATTATTTCCCAACCATTTTAAAATAACAAAAAAATAAATATATTTTATTTAAAAATGCTTGTCATTTTTAAAATGAATCATTTTGTCATTCTTAAAAATTAACAAAAAATTGGCTGGAAAAAATACATAATATTCCCCCTCAATTCCAAATTTATTTTTATTAGCCCCACACATTTTTTCCTCAAAAATGGTCCTAATTTACAAAATTAACTTAATTTTATTTTTTAATTTATTACCTTTAATTTTTGTTTTTGGTGAATTGACAAGACATTTTAAAGAATTTTTGGACAAAAATTATGGGGGAGGTAGAGATAAATAATTAGTTGATAAGAATTGATTAAAAAAATTTTTTTTAGAAGTTGGGGGACAATTGAACAGGATGGATATGGGTGGATATTTGTATGGAAGTTTTGGAGGAAAGGAGGGGGATAATGATACGATTGTAAATGAGGTAGTTTTTGGAGGAATGGAAGAGATGTTTAAAATTTTACTCGAAGCATAAAATGCTCCATATTTATTAGGGCGAGGAATCATTTCCAATTAGATAAAATTAACTAAATTTACATGGAAATATTAGTGAAAATATCAGTAAAGGCTAAGAGAGCTCTTAAGGATTGCCACTTTTATTTATTATTATCAAGTACAAGTTAGAAAGATACCTGAATTGGGAAGCAAACCCATCTCCCACAATAGAATGGTGCTTAGATTTCTGACTCACAATTACCGATAACTTAAGTATTGCTTTCTCTTTGATTCTGAAAGCTTTGTGCTACTTAAAGTCAGTGTTTGGAAGCTTATAGCAAAATTCGTGCTTGTATATGTGTACGAAGTATGAGTACGGGCAAATTTCAAAATTCCAAACACTTCTAATAGTTAAACAATTAACTAAGCCTGCTTTCAAAATTATGAATCAGAAAATGGCATAATTAGATACATTATCATATTCACATTAACAAATTAATAATATACTTTCATTTTCAAAATTTTTTTATTAGCCAGTTATCTTCGTTCATGGAGTAACTTTACGGGCCGGCGTTTTTGTTTCTCATCGAAATTATTTTTTAGGGAAAGGATATTCTACATCTGAGGCAAGTTTTGACACCCACAAAAATAATTTTTTAAAAATAATTCTAAAGTTATACGCGACAACCTACGCCGATGGAGGGCATACTCCTTTTTATATGAATGAATTGGAATGTTCAAGTGTTAAACAAATAAGAGAGTTTATCCTAGCTGTTCATAATTATACTGAAAAAACTGGTAGGGATAAAATAACGGGATCTTTTCTCTTAAAGTATTTCTCTCAATTTGAATAATATGTACTTTCCAAATAAAACGTTATTAAACAATTTATTTATAGGGAGGGACTAATTTAATTATACTATCATGATTTTAAAAGTTTGATGAATGGGTTTAAACAAGCATAAAAATTAGGTTTGGAGTTTTTGAATTGGGCCGACGAATCTTTTTTGGGTCAAAATTCAATGCCCGGCTCGATCTTTCGGACTGGGCCGGATCGGGCCCTCAAGAGTTATCGGTTCTTTGCAAAATCAAAATTCAGAACCGAACCGAAAAACTGAACTGAACAAAATATCCGTTTATTAGTGTCCTAATTATTAATATTAATAATACTTTCTTAAAATTAGTAAATAATTTTTTAGAATTAAATTTAATAACAAATTCCTCAGTTGATATTATTGCCTATTCAATGGGTGTTGCAATCTCGAGAAAATCAATTCTTGGGGGACATTGTGTGGATACCGGTGAATTTTTGGGAGAACCTTTAACTGAATATATTGACACTTTTGGTAATTTATTTAAAAAATTTTTTAAAGAAAAATTTTTTTCAAAGTTTCGGTTGGCGGTGTTGCCTACGGAATGGAATGGTTATTAAATAAATTAACTCGAAAAAAAATTTTTTTAAACAAAAATAATTAGGTGCCCCAAAAATCTCCCAGCCTGTAATGCTATTGATGGAATGGTTTGTGATTCAGAATATATGATGGACATTAACCAGGCAATGGCTCGTTATGAGGGAGAAAATTCTTTTGCAATTTATAGCAGGTAATTAGTAAATATGTAATAATTATTTTTAAATTTTGTGTTTCTCTTAATAAGTAATTAATTGTAATAATAATTACTCATTTAATAATTACTCATAAGTAATTACTCATTTTAGTTTTTTTTTGTAAATTATGTATACAGGCTCTTAGGGTCGGCATAAGAAAGAGATCAATCAGGCATAAAATATTTGGCCCGAAAGTGACCCGTACCGGAAAGTGACCCGTACCCCTATACAGACAGATCTTGATTTATCTTTGGATTTAAAACTATTTTATCTTATATATACATAGGTTATCATAAATAGAGTCAGAATTTATTTAAGGATTCATAAAAAGAATCAGAATTTTAATCATTAAATGTAATCACTCTCGGAGTCCAACCAGATTTTAAAAATTTAATTTATATCAGATAGGTGATATATTGGGCGTATTTACAATGGATTATTCTGCATTTATTAATTTTATTTTTTAAAATTAATAAATTTCTTCATTAAATTATTAAGTATACTAGTTTAGTCTATTTATCCATCTCGTTTTAAAATTTCCATTATTGTGTGAAACTTCAAATAAATTTTGATTTTCTATTTTTTGTGGTTAAGCATTTTTTCTGTTACTATTTTTTCTGTTTATTCTGATATATTTTTGTCTTATTTTAAAGTGCTTCTGAAATTTTGAATAATCTCAATTCTTTAAATAAAAATTATTATTTTCTAGAGATGATTACATTGTCGGCCAAGTTTGTTGTGGCCATCCCTGCAGTGAACTAAAAAATGCAAATTTAACTATAGCTATGCGTTATCATGACCACGTTACTGTTTTTACTAGAACAATGCCTTTGCAATATTCGTTGGTTACCAACCACAGCGGGGCTGATTATTGAAATAAATTTAAATAAAAAATTGTGATTTTATAGTAAAAAATTGTAAAATATATATTTGTGTTAATATACATATATATAATACTTTAATATTTAAAAATTGTTTTAAAATTAATTATTTTAATATAAAATTTCTGATTGTCGCGTTAAAAATAAGAAATCTAGCTTCTTGTTCCCCAAAATTCACAAAAAATTGAATGGTTTTGAATGAATTTGATTTGAATATTGTTTGAATAAAGTTATGTCATAAGTAGAGATTTTGTAATGTCACATATTACAGTATGGAATACCGATAAATACCGTCGAACTATAGACATGGGTACGTTTTTCGGTTACTTTTGGGCCACCCTTAACTTAAAAATTCAGATCTATTTGGTCAAAATTCGGTTCTATTTTTGACTTAATTTTAGTCTTATTAACCTTAATTTTATAAATAAAATATTAGACAATTTCATAATAAATATAAAAATATTTTCTTTTTTATTAGACAAACATGATGAAAATTTGCACTTTATAAAAATATAATTTGTCAATAAAATTGAAAAAAATCTAATAAATATTAAATTTCATCATGAAATACTTTTATATTTAATATGAAATTATGTATGTCTAATAATTTATTTATAAAATTAAGGTATTTGCCTTTATTATAGTGAATTATTATTTTAAGAAATTAATTCTGTTAAACTTAATTTTATATTTAAAGCGTTCAAAAAAGTTGGAGCATACTTTAGTTTGTAAAACATTAAAATATGTTTCAATAGGTGACAAACATCTCAATAAACATCATTTTTAAAAATAAGAAGAAAGTCTATAAAAAATCCCATCCTATTCCCATTCCTATTTGGCATAAAAAAATACTTTATAAAAGTAGACCACACACAAACAAAACGCGCGCCCAATTTGCCGCACCCTGTACATGAGCTCTGCAATCCTAGTTAACTTATGCATTTATTTACGTTGTTGTTATCGTTATCAGAGGTGGGTCGGAACAGTCCGAGGTGTCGGAAATCGGAAGAGCCGGAAATCGGAACTGGTTCAAAAGTCGGAACTCGGAAATTAAAATTTTTTTGGGAAATCGGAAGGAAAAAACGCCGGAAATCGCAAGTCGGAATTCCGACCCACCTCTGCTCGTTATCTATTTTCAATTAAAAAATATAAGTTTAGATGAAACTATTTATTTTAATATTTTTGCTATTCAATACAATATTTTGGAGTTTAATTAATTGTGGGGAAAATGATTTGAATTTAAATGAAGGGACTAGTTCTATAAGTAATGAAGTTTTAGAGAAATTAAAGAAAATGGCCGAATCGTCGGTTAATCCTCAAAGTCAGAAATATAAAGAATTGTTAAAACCTAAGCGTAAAATTAATAAAAATACAAAAAAGGACATAAATGGAAATGAATTGGGAAGAAAATTAAGGAAAGCTGAATCCGATCGAAAATACTACCGTAAAAATAAGGATAAGATTAATGAAAATAATCGGACTTATTATAAAAAGAATGAAGTAAAGAGGCGAGAATGTGCAAACAAATATTATCAAAAGAACAAAGAAAAGAAGCGAGAATATGACCGAAAGAAGTACATATATCAAAAATAAGGATAAGATGAAGGAAAATATGAGAAAATATCGTCAAAAAAAGAAAAATGAAAAAGAAACTCTTCAAAAAGAATTAACAATTCAGTCTGTTAATCAAGAAGGGACGTCCAATGTTTATCCACAGAATAATAATTATGAAGGTAAATGTAAAGAGTCTTGTGAAGAAGAGAGTGTCCAACTGGAAGGGACACCTCATGAGGAAGGGTGTGTCCAATTAGAAGGGGCTGAGAAAAATAATAAAGAAAAAGAAAATCCATTTAGAGACATTGATTTGAATCTGCCAGTTAATGAGATAAATTTAAATAAGAAGCATCGGTTTGATCTGAACGAGGAGCCTGAGGATTGTGAAGAGATATGAAAATATAATTTTGGGTAATTTTTGAAGTAAAATAAATTAAATTATAAAAATGTTTTGTTTCCAAGAATACTTTTGCTAAGTAAAATTCATTCCTATCATTGATATTTTCTCATAATTTAAAATTCTATTCTATCACGAAAATTTAAATATGTATAACTATAAAATTTTTAGTGAATTTGAATATATGTTTAAAAAGCTAATATTTTAAAGTGAGTGTCAAATTAAAAGTTCTTTCTCCATTTTAAATGTTAATAATATTAGCGATTGAAATCAAAAAAATTTATATTAAAAATCAGGATTTTATCCGTACATTGCCTTCTTTAAGACCTCTTCTGTTTTTATTATTTATTTGATAAAGTCCTGCAGCTGAAGGCACGGGAAGTGATCGCAGGGGGCATGGACAATAGTTCTTCTCTGCTCCCTCTCTCCCAGGTTTTCCGGGCTGTAAACATAAAATTAAATTTATATTTAAAAAAGTTTCTCACCTTTCCAGGGATTCCTGGCTCGCCATTATCTCCTGCTGGGCCTGGTTGTCCTACTAAACCGGGAAGACCATCACTTCCAGGTTGACCGTCTAATCCTGGCAGGCCTTGATCACTCGGTGGGCCAATAGGTCCCGGCGATCCTTTCGGGCCAGGAGTGTTAATGCTGAATTGAAGGGAGATATACATGAAAATGAAATTTAGATATTTTTTACTATTTTATGATCTTTCCTCCGCCAAGACCAGATTCTCCATTTATACCAGGAGGGCCTGAAAAGGAAATAAATAGCTGATTTTGAATATTTTTAATTACCTGGGGGACCACTTTCACCGGGCGGTCCATCATTTCCAGGAACTCCATCATTTCCCTGTCTCCCATTCTCACCCATTTTTCCGTCCGGACCAGGGGGACCTGTAAATGTTTAAATATTTACTAAGTAATCTATTCAATAAACCTTGTATTCCTGGTCTTCCTTTTGGACCAGGTTCTCCAGCTGGGCACTTCACACATGGTGGTTTAACCTTTTCAAAAATAAAAATACCTCCTTTTTCGCCTGGCTTGCCAGGTGGTCCGTTTTGGCCCGGAACTGCAAATTTTGAGATTATGGGAAATTTTTTTTTCTCTTCTGATAGACTTCAACAGAAGCTATCAGAATCTAAATTAAATTCCCTTTACTTCCTGGTTCGCCTTTTTCTCCATCAGGACCAGGAGGTCCTTTAGGGCAGTTTTGAGCACTTGGAGCACAATCTGAACTTTTAAAAAATAATATAGTATCAGAAGGGTTATATTAATGCAGGGCTCTCATCGACAAAATGCCACTCAAAAGTATCAAAATCTTGATAAAAAAGTATATAGGGAGAAAATTTCCAAATTTAAAGTATACTCAAAATTAAATTGGAAAATATTTGTTCGTGCTCAAATCTTTTATATTTCTCTCTTAAATGAATCTTTTCTAATAATTTCTTGCTTCCATTGGGCATTTTGTGCATTTCAACGCATGACATGTCAAAATTCGCTGATACAAGAAATAAAGCCCTGACAGTCTTAACCTCAAGCTTTCGTCCATTTTCAGCGCCGCAGGCGAAAATTTTTTGAAATTTGGAGCCCAAGTAGTCAGATTTCTCCCATTTTCAGCGCCGCAGGCGAAAATTTTTTGAAATTTGGAGCCCAAGAAGCCAGATTTCTTTCTTTTTCAGCGCCGCAGGCGAAAATTTTGATAATTTCGAAGGCCCAAGGCTAAAAAAATTCACTTTTTTGCCCAATCCCTTCCCCAATTTCATTTTCAATCCAAAATGTTGATTTTAAAGTATATACTTTCAATAAAGTATAAATTCAATTTCTTAAGTATGGAGGTCGGTTTCAAAGTATAATACTTTCAAATAAAGCACGAATGAGAGCCCTGTATTAATGTGTTTCGGCCTTCTGAATCGACATTTGAAGGGGTGTTATAACGAGGGTCTAATAAAATTTCAATATAGTTACATAAAAAACTTACGACAATTTGGATCAGTAGCACCTCCATAAAATGTTTGCCGTTTATTTCTGTGGAACTTTGGATCCAACAGTAATTCCCAAGATTTATCAGTTATCAACTAAAATAAGAAAATGAAAGATTTTTCCTTAAATTTAAAAAACTTTAAATTCAATTTTTTCTTGTTTTAGTTCAGCATCCATCTTTTCCAAATCAAAAAATAAATTTAAACTTATCATTAAAGCTCCTATTGTAAAAGCAAAACAAATTGAAGATAATATTTGAATTGGAGTATTTTTGTCAGGCATAGTAAACATTTTCTAAATAGAAAATTTTTGGTTTAAATTTATTAGCGTATTTCGAGTTTTCTTTCTTTTTAAATTCTGTATTAACAACTCTTAATTTTATTGTTATTCTAGTGTGTATACAGATTGAATGTTATGATCAGATGGAGGACGTGACTGTAAACCTTGACTCGAAATCATATCCGTCTTCTTTTTAAAACTGTCCTATCCTTGATTCTGATATTTGTATTTTTTCTTTAAAATTTTGTAATAAAAGTACTACATGTGGTATTTCATAAAACTAATATAAAGTTGATAGTATAAATGTTTAAACATTAAGGAAGGAAAATTAAAATAAGATCTCTTATGGCCTGATAACTGACAAGGAAATAATTCTATGATTAAAAAAATTTTTGTTGGAAATATATTTAAAAACTAGTTTTAGTATAATATTTTATCCAATATACATATTTTCTAATTATTAAACATAACATAAAGGTTTTTAGAAAAAATTAAAATAATTTAAAAAATTATTTTGTTAAACAAAAAAATAATGATAAAGTTAAAAGGTTTATAAATTTCTTAATTAATTAATTAATAATTCCGTTATTTTCTAAATTTGCTGTTTGTCCAAAAAATCTTTTTTTTTATTGCTTTTTCCTTTTAGTTTTCTCATTTTCCAAACCATTAATTTGATATTAAGTTTTGTTAGCTTCTCCAAAATAAATCCAAATGTAAACCTGTTATAGCATCTTTATTAGAGAAAAACAAGAATTTATATTTAATTTTATTTTATGTGATCGTTTTTTGAATGTTTTTTTGTTATTCAGACAAAAAATCTTTTATGGTAAGCTTATTATGGAATTTAGAAAAACAAATCATTAATCAACACAAGAATTACAGCTATAGCCATAATAAATTATTTTAGCTACGAGAATAATGAGCTTTAAGAATTTTAAATATCTTTCGTTGCTTTATTCATACTATAAATTATTTTTAAAATTTTGAAAATAATTTCAAACAAAAAAACATTTTATTTAAATAAAAAATCAGAAAGTTCCTATCTTGAAAGAAAAGTTCAGAGACATCACAAAATTTTGATCGGAAATTTATTAAAAAATACGAAGAGTTCCTAATTCACCAGTAAAGTTGTCGGATATTTGGAAATCTTCGGATATCCGGCAACCTAATTCACCAGAACAAACTCAAAAAATTTGGAAAAATAAAACTAAATTTTTTAAGAATATTTTTAGATAGAAAAATGGGCATGGGTTTGACAGAATGCCGAGTTACAGGCTTTATTGCAATTAGTATTTCAATTATTGTGGTTTACTTAACATCATTTTATCTACAACAAATGTTGATACAAATTAATAATATTCGAAGGGAAGTGGATGTCGGAATGGATGAGTTTAAAACATTACAGGTAAATTTTTAAAATCAGTCAAAAATCCTCTTAGTATGTATGCCAATATAAATTAAAATTATCTTTGAATTTAAAGGGAAATCTGTGGACTGACTTGCTGGTTAACACGAAGAAAAGATTTTCTGTCCTCTCATTTTCTTCAATTACCGATGCAAGAATTAAAAAGCGACAGGCTTCGAATCCTAGCTGTGATTGTATTAATACAGCACAGTGCCCACCAGGTCCTCCTGGACCCCCAGGCCAAGCGGGACTTGACGGGGAACATGGAAAACCAGGTGAACCTGGACCTGTGGGGGAACAGGCAATAGCATCACAAACACAGGCGCCAGTTGAAGAAAGTTGTCGTAAGTTTTAAAATACAGTAAAGCTGCCCAATAAGCCCCATGACTTTTCGATTTTCTCCTGGTTGGTCTTGAGTACTGGTAATGAAGTACCGCCAGAATTAAAAAAGCAGTTACAAAACTGGAACTAGAACCGCCAAAATTTAAAGATCGGTTCCAGAACCGGAAATGGAACCGCCAAAATTCTTAAAGCAGTTCCTGAATTGGAAGCGGTTCCAGAAAAATTTTGGAACTTTTCCATCACTGCTTCTTAAGTCGCGAAAATTTAGTATCATAAAGCTATTGAAACAAATAAATTTAATTTTATAATTACTAATTGTTTCACTCAAATTAAACAGGTGTTTGCCCACCAGGACCCCAAGGTCTTAGAGGATATCCTGGACCTGCTGGCCCGCCTGGAGCTCCTGTGAGTAAATAATATAAGACTAAATAAATAATAAATTAATTTGAGGGCGGTTCTGGATTGCCTGGACTTGCTGGAAAGCCTGGCCATCCTGGACAGAGTAATAAATTTTTAACTTTTTAATTTTAAAAATATAACTAATCATTAAAAAGTTGGATCACCTGGTGAGATGGGTCAGCAGGGAACGGCAGGCAAAGAAGGAATGCCTGGCCCTCCTGGATTGGAAGGTGTTAGAGGAACAGCTGGAAGGCAAGGCGAGCCAGGATTGGCTGGAATGCCAGGGCCAAAGGGTTATAGCGGAGCTCCAGGTGAATTTTATAAGGAAATAAAATACAAAATAATTTAAGGCCGTCCTGGAATGCCAGGCTTGCAAGGGATGAAGGGAGAAGCTGGTCAAGAAGGTCCATCTGGACAGCCTGGTAGATTATAATAAATTTACAAAAGATTGAAAATTATCTAAAAATGTTTTATTAAAGGCTGGGATGGAATGCGAGGACAATTTGGGGAAAATGGACAACCTGGTCCCGATGCGAGGTAATATTTATAAATAAAATAAATCACAACAATATACTTAAATTCTTATAAAGCTATTGTAAATGTCCACAACGTCTATCACTTACTGGGGAG